TGCCCTTATAGGAGTGATGCTTTGTGTCTATTTACATAGCAGCTCTGAGCCAAATTAGCCCCTTAGAGCCTCCCAGTCTGCGCAGGAGCAAGGGCAGGGCTAAGCTGCTGGGCCACAGCACACTGCAGTGGGTACCCCTGCCCATGAGCCTCGTAAGACCTGAGGTGGGCACAGTGACGTGCACACCCCCTGGCTGCATGCTGCAGGGGTGTGCTTTTGTGCTCAGAAACCCAGAAGAAAGCTGGACCACACTGCTACAATGCCGCAGACACAGATATTTTTAATGACTTCCAAGGTTTGGTTAGCTTTTTCTTCATGACTTCTGACTTCCCTGTGGCAAATACATGGTAGAGCTGGGATGGAGGGTAAGGGGACTTAAGCTGACCAAACAAGGCAGTTTGACCCAAGCAAGCCATGGACAAGGACAGCCCAGAGCAGCAGGCCTGGCCCTGCGACGTGAACTAGAACATGGCTGGAGCTAAGGACACAGGGCCAACAGAAAGGACACAGGCTACTGTCAGGACACACACTAACACACACCCAGGGCCAGGACCCTGCTGACGTGGCAGCCCTCCACTCCGGTCCCTCACTTCCCCCCCACTCCTCTCCCCCCCGCGGCTGCCAACGGGGCTTTGCCTTAGTCCTGCCACCCCTGTCACTGCCTGTCCTTATCCAGGGGGGGGCCCCATCAGCCCCTCCTCAGCTGCCCAGCAGAGCAAGCAGTTAGTGGGGAGGGGAGGGAAGATGGAGCTGGGGCCGGCGGTGGGGCAGGGCCGGGGGCCGGGGCCCGAATTCGTGCACTACTGGGCTGCCTGGTCAAGGTGCTGCTCTGGGTGGCCTCTGCCCTGCTGTACTTCGGAAGTGAACAGGCCGCCCGCCTCCTGGGCAGCCCCTGCTTACGGCGCCTCTACCATGCCTGGTTGGCGGCAGTGGTCATCTTTGGGCCCCTTCTGCAGTTCCACGTCAACTCTCGGACTATCTTCGCCAGCCACGGCAACTTCTTTAACATGTGAGTCCAGCTGAGGCTGTGGGAGCCGGCTTCCTGCACTCTGGGATCCCAGCTCCCTTCTCCAGGTTTCTGTCCTCCTGCCAGTCTGCAAACTAAAAATAGACCAGGAGGTTGAGGAGAAGGTTGTGGCAGGGCAGGGTAAGTGGGGGCAGCACAGGACAGAGTCCTGGGGAACAGAGGAAGTAAGGAGCAGGCCTGAAGAGAAAATGTGGGCCTAGAATCCTGAATGGTCTTCTGAGGAGAGAGCAAAGCTGAGGTGGGGGTTGGGAAGGAGAACCAATGAAATGATGTGTAGGACTTGGGGACAGAGCAGGAAAGGGAACAAAGATTAGGGTGGGAGGTGGGGCTGGGGTCTCACTAGCTTCCCCTCTTCTGTCCACAGAAAGTTTGTGAATTCAGCGTGGGGCTGGACATGCACCTTCCTGGGGGGCTTTGTGCTGCTGGTGGTTTTCCTGGCTACACGGCGTGTGGCAGTGACAGCCAGGCACCTGAGCCGATTGGTGGTAGGGGCAGCTGTGTGGCGGGGGGCCGGCCGGGCCTTCCTGCTCATCGAGGACCTGACTGGCTCCTGCTTTGAGCCTTTGCCCCAGGGCCTGCTGCTCCACGAGCTGCCTGATCGCCGTAGCTGCCTGGCAGCCGGCCACCAGTGGCGGGGCTACACGGTCTCTTCCCACACCTTCCTGCTCACCTTCTGCTGCCTGCTCATGGCTGAGGAAGCAGCGGTCTTCGCCAAGTACCTAGCCCATGGGCTGCCGGCCGGGGCCCCTCTGCGTCTCGTCTTCCTGCTCAATGTGCTGCTGCTGGGCCTCTGGAACTTCCTGCTGCTCTGTACCGTCATCTATTTCCACCAGTACACTCACAAGGTGGTGGGCGCTGCAGTGGGCACCTTCGCCTGGTACCTTACCTATGGCAGCTGGTATCATCAGCCCTGGTCTCCGGGGAGCCCGGGCCATGGGCTCTTCCCCCGCCCCCATGCCAGCCGTAAGCACAACTGAAAGAAATAAAGGCACGTCGGGCCTGGCTCTGGCTCCTCTCATCATTTGGTGTGGGGCTCAAAAGGTGGGAAGGGTAAAAGGAGGGCCTGGTTGTCGCTGGAGTTTCTCAGCCGTTCTTGATATTACTGACCTTGAATGTTCTTCCTTATGCTTGACATCCATCCCTCCTGCTGACCTTCTCATCCTTGCAGCCTTTGAGCTGCTGGGGGCTGTGACATCAAAGAATGGCACTGCTAGGGAGGTAACAGTCCCCGTAGGTAGGTGTGGGTGTCATTCCTCCTCTCTCTCTCTCTTCCTTAAGTTTATTTCTTCCATGAGAGACAGCACTCCCAACAGGGTCTTGACTCCGCAATGCACTCCCAGCAAGCCCCAGATTATGGGCACTTTTATGCCCAGCATATTCAGGGAGTGCTGAAAGGAACCCAGAACTTCCTTATGAGAGTCAGCCTTGAGCTTTCTGTTTTACCACTTTACCACCATCTGGTGTCTGGGCCTCATTTTTTTTCTTTTCTTCTTCTTTTTATTTTTTTGGGGGGCACTTGTACTCACCAAAAGAGAGAAAGTGAGAAATCATCCCCCAGGGAAGATGCCCACACCTCAGTCCCTACTCCATTCTCCTCTTGGGATTTTGGGCATGCATGGGCACATGCTTGGTGTGATTTTCAAGCCACTAGGAATGGGACTCAAATCGTGGTTGACCATGTGGGAGTCCAGCACCTTCACTACCACGCCACCTGCTCTACTGACCACTGTGGGCGTCATTCTTGCTGAACTGAACAGGTGCTCCATCTCCAGCCTGGTTGATTTGTTTTTCCTACCTCTGCATGGACTTTCCCCTCCGCCCTCCTCAGGGTGCCCTATCTGGGCACTGCATTCAGGGACCCTCCCTCTGTGTCCCTCATGGGGGGCATGCTCATTTATGTAACAAATGTTTATTGAGCTAAGCATAGCTCCATGCCATGTGAACCACAGGCAGGGTTTCTGCTGTTTGAGGCCTTATGAACTAACTAGAAGAGGTACATGACAAACACAATAGCAAGCACTTGCATTGTGCTTACTCTGGGCCAGCCACAGTTCTTTATACGTTTTTAAATAAAGTAACCACTGATGGGACCAACAGGTGGCATAATGGTTTTGTCGCTGGACTCCCATGCAGTTCATCGTAGTTCCAGTCCCAGACTTGGTGGCTTAAAACTCACTCTGAGCACATGTGCATGCCTGCCTGAGATCCCAAGAAGAGAATGGAAGAGAAGGGATTGCAGTACGACCATCCCCCTTGAGAGGTTATTTCTCGCCTTCTGTCTCCCTATGTTTCCGGCAAGAGCATACACCCTATAGCAAAAAATCTCTCAAAAAAATAATCTTTTAGTCCTCAGAACACCACCACTACGAAGTAGGTTTTGTAATGGTCCCACTGTGCTGTTGTCAAAACAGAGGCACAGACAGCTAGTAAATAGAAGAACCAGGTTATAAAAACAGGCAGGATGGGTACATTGTTTTCTAAACCAGAGATTAGCAAACTACGGCCCTCCTGTAGCCAGTTTTTTTAGTGACCTGCAGGCTAAGAATGTTTTTTCACATTTCTCTTTTTTTACAGAAATATTTCATTTTATTTATTGTTATTATTATTTAATTTGACCAGAGAGAGAGAATGTGAGAAAGCAAGCAGCCAAATCCAGGATTCAAGCCACGTCGTTCAGCATCTTGACCACCATCCCAACCACTGGTTTTTACATTTCTAAATGGTTGAAAAATCAAGAAATTTTATGATGTGAAATTAAACAATATTTAAATTTTAATGTCTATAAAGTTTTATTGGAACACAGACACACTAATTCATTTGCAGATAACTGTTTTCCTGTTACAAAGACAGAATTGAGTAGTTGCCACACACTATAAGGCCCACAAAGCCTAACATATATACTCTGGCCCTTTCGGAAAGTTGGCTGAACCCTGGCTTAAACCAGTACTTTACCTTGTCTCAAAAAATAAACTGCAATATCAGCGAGATATTGAAGGTACTAAAACAGACTGACTTGTACTAGATTTGTAGGGAAGTACTTTATAAAGGATGCTGAAGAAAGTTCTCTCTGAAGAGGTGGCATTTGAGCCGAGAACTGAATGACAACACCCAGAGAAGTATGTTTCTGGGAGAAGCCAGGGCAAAGGCCCTGAGGCTGGAATAAACAGGACACGTTTGAGAAATAAGTGGAGAGAGCCGGAGTCCAGCAGGTGGCGTGGTGGTTAAGGCGCTGGACTCTGCGGTTGGAGTCCCGAACCTAGTGGCTTGCTTTCTCAAGTTCCCTCTCTGTCTCTCTCCAGCAAAATTTAAAATAATAATAATAAACTAAATAAAGTGACTCCTAGGGAACCTGAACCCAGATCCTTAGGTCTCTGAGAAGGGCAAAGAGGAGGGCCAGAACAATGGTGGAAAGCCAAAGCATCTGTAAGCACAATGAATGAGGAGGAAGTGGTAGAAACGTGAAGGAGAAACGGGTGCCAGGCAGGCCATGAAGGAGTCCTTCGGATTTCATTCTAAGGTCGTCTGCAAGCTGAGAAACGGTTTCAAGGAAGAGAGAGGTGCGAACCCGCGCTTTGAGCGCATATCCAGGAATGGAATCTGCAGCAGTCCAGAGGAGGCCTACCGGGCACAGATAGAGATGGTACCAGCATCTGAGGGTCTCTAAACGGGCCAGGGAATACAGGAGGAGCCAGGTCCCAGGCTTACAAGGCTAGGGAAGAGAAGTCAGGTCTTGTTCCACTCCTGAGAAAAGGTGGACACCCCAAATAAGGCTTTCACGGTCCCAGGCCAAGCATGGGAAGAAGAAAGCCCATGCAGGGACAGGAGCCTGGGAAGCAGGAGGCCGGAAGAACAGCGGGTAGGAGCAAGGTGGGCGTGGAGAGGCGGCAGTGCCCGAGTGGCGGTAGGCGGGG